TCAAAAGTCCCAAGTTTCATTTCTTTTTTAAAAATATTTTTTATTATTTTTATTTATGTGTATATTATTGCCTACATGTATGCAAGTGCACCTGTGTTGTGCAATGCCTGTGGAGGTCAGAAGAGGGCATTGGATCTCCTGGAAATGGAGTTAGGGACAGTTGTTAGCTACCATGTGGGTGCTGGGAACTGAATCTGGGTCCTCAACAAGAGCAGCCAGTTCTTTTAACCGATGTACTATCTCTCTAGCCCCTCCCCCATTTCATTTCTAAATCATTTTATGAGTATGATGTATTTGAGGACAAATTTCCTCTTATCTGTCATCTCCCCACCCCCCAACTCTACAGCTAAAATACAACATAGGGAAGGGCAGTAGATACCAGTTATATAAAAGTTCCAGGTCAAGTGGGTTTTAAAATGAAAAACGGGTAGAGAAAGGACTCCGAGGTATCAACCAATTTCAAAAATCTAGCTAGGAAAATTCCATGGAATTTCAAAGATGGGTCATAATTTTCTGGAGCTTGCAGCTATACTCTCTATCTTTGAGGCCCAGCTCCACAGGCTTATGGTTCAACCCTCAAAATGATGTGTTCATGAAGAGTAGCATGTTTTGACAGCTGAGTAGTTTCATTAGTCTTTTTCTTCAATAGAGGTTTTTAAGTCTAACAGGCTTCTTTTATTTTATATTCTCCCCCACCCATCCCTTTCAGTCCAAGCTGAAAGTATTTGTGCTTATGTCATTGTCAAAACCCTTGCAGGTCTTCCATGGATATGATGAATAGTCATTCCATTCAATAAGGGACTCTTGACAGATCTTTCCTAGATAATCTTATTTGTCTTCTTGGCTTCAGTTTAAGATGGCTGTGGTGGCCTATGAGTCACACACTTAGTATTCTCAAAGAGCCTTTTATGTCACTGAATATTTTGACCTATTGAACTTACTGAGATATTACTAAATAGTTGTCCAACCCACTCTAAATTTTTTCCCTCTAGAGCTCACATTTTTTATCACAAATCTGTAAATTTTAGCATCATTTGTGATTTTGATTGACCACTAATTTTCCAAAATATCAAATCCTGGTTCTTCTTTGGTTATCAGTTCTTCCTTCAATTTATCTTTCCCTTCCTGTGTTTTACATGAAGAGCCAGGGGACACCTTTCCACAACTTCAACACTTTGCCTGGGAGGATCTCCTCATCTAAATGCACAAATTCATCATTTATAAGCTATACTTCACATATAACTTCAGGGGATAGCTCTGCTATGTTTTCTACAACTATTTAACAAGAATCATCTTTCAGATTTTCTAGTAACATGTTGCTGATTTCCTCTGAGCCTTCATTAGCAATATCTTTTACCATTTGTATTTCAACTAACTTTGTTTACAGTGATTTACTGTGCTTCACCCCTTCCTTCTCAGCCCTCACCAGTTTAATTATCATCCATCCCTATTTCTATCAGCAGTCTGTTCAATGAAATTTAGACTTCATCATGCTTCTCAAAATTCTTCCAGCTTTACCTTTCCCATTTTCCCCTTTTTTCTGTTTTTAGACAGAGTTTTAAACTCCTCATCCTCAAAAATGCCCCAACTGCCAAATTCAATTCTAAAGCTACACATTTTTAGGTATTTGATATAGCAACACCCTGTTTCTAGGCATGAAAATGTGCTATATTCTGTTTTTTTTCCATTTGGTTAGTTATTCTGTGTATGTGTGTGTATGTTCATGTGTTCACGAAACTCATGAGACTCGGTGACAAGCACCTTTACCCACTTGCTCCATCTCTTGGACCCTATATTCTTTTAATTACTTCATATATTTGTGAATCTGGGTTTAATCCATTTACATTTAAAGTAATCATTGGTAAGTAAAGACTTTTGCCATTTTGCAACTTGTTTCATAGCTTTGCCTTTCATTTTTTACATTGCTGTCTTTTTTTGGATGATATTTTCATAGCGAAATGTATAAATTCCTTCCTTCTTTCCTTTTATATACATTGTCTAGCTACTTTCCATGTGGTTATCATGGAGATTATATTTAACATATCTCTTCCTCTCTCTCCCTTTTCCTTTTAGACCTCTATAATTCCTGTGGTAGACCACTGATGGTGTCCCATAACTCCTTCAAGCTCTGTTCATCTTTCTTGAATTTTTATTCTTTTTGTTCTTCAATCTCAATAATATCCTACTTTAAGTTTACTAATTCCTCTGTCCAAATCTGCCTTTGAATCCTTCTAGTGAATTGCTTATTTCAGTCACTGTACTCAGTTCTGCATTTTGTTTTGGTTTCTTTTTAGGTTTTTTGACTCCTTGTTGCCATTTCCATTGTGTTCAAACATCATTTAGTTCTTGGAGCATCTTTTGTTTTATTTTTGTTTGTTTGTTTGTTTGAGACAGGGTCTCACTATATAGCCCTGGCTGGCCTGGAACTTACTATGTAGACCAGGCTGGTTTCAAACTCAGTGTTCTACTGCCTCTCAAATATTGTGACTAAAAGCATGCACCATCAAGCCCAGCATCTTAGAGAAATTTTTTTGGAATTTTGGAGATAGGGCCTCCCTATAGCCATATCTGGCCTGGAACTTAGATTAGAGACCAGGCTGGCCTCAGCCTTACAGAGATCTGCTTGCCTTTGCTTCACAAAGAGTGCTGAGCTTAAAGAGATTAAAGGCATGCACCACCACAACTAGCATCTTTTTGAGCATCTTTAAGCCAGTTATTTTAAAGACCTTCTCTGATAATTCTATATCATCTTTTTCAGAGAGAGTTTTCTCTAGATTTTATTTTTCTTTAATTGAACCATATTTTACAGGTGTGTGTGTGTGTGTGTGTGTGTGTGTGTGTGTGCACTGTGATTTTTAGAAGGTGGTAATAATTCTGGAAGTCAAATTTTTTCCCCGTTCCTAGAATTTGCTGTGTTTTTTTTTTCTTTGATTTTGTTATTTTGGTTTGCTATAAGCTATCTCTATGCCAGACATCAGGTACAGTTTAAACTTAAGGTCTTCTCACATGTTTTCTGAACGCGTACCTTCCCTTTGAAATTCACAGTGACTTTCTAATTTTTCCCATATATGTATATATATATATATATTCATATTATGTGTGTCTATATGTATATCTATCTATACACACATGTGCATAAATATATATGTGCATATATATACACATAAATACACACACCTACTTTTGAATATCTTAATTTTTAATGCCTGGCTCCCCAAACACAGCAAAATGAAGTGAGAAAATAAAGTGCTATCTCCATGTGTTTCCTGACATCATTTCAGCTGGAGAAGACATAATAATGGAGGAGCTCTAATAAAAAAAATCAAATCATCCCCTTGCCTGTGTACGTCTGTGATCAGAAGCTGTAGTGATGAGAGCACAGATCCACTATGCTTGAAGAATAACATCCTTTTTTTTTTTTTGCCTGCCCTGCTTCCTACAAGCTGTTCCTGGAACACAGGCAGGATTGTCTTTCACGGCACTAGAGGTAGAGGATGTGCTGCTGCTGCTGTACCAAGAACAGTAATTGGCCACAGTTAACCACAATTTGCCATATAGATGCTCTGAAATACTTAATATTATTTCGTTTAGAACCAGAACTCAAATATAGACTCTGATAGCAACTGCGCAGGAAAATGAAGGGATGTTTTTTCCTGTTAGTGCTGTTTCTCTATGATCACACAGAGTCTGCCAGTGCAGATATCTAGGTAAGGAGACAGATTCTCTATGTGCCCTACTCTATCATCTTCCCAGAAACATATTGAATTTCCTTTTCAAAATAGATTTCTAAAGAGGGAACAAGGCATAATTCTATAACTGTGACTCGAGGAAAGGATACTAACAGAGATATCGGAGCGCTAGTATGTTGGAAAGGGGTAAGAGTTAATAGGGGAGCTCATATATCATTGTTTTCATTGTTTTAATTTTGTATATATAGTGAGAATCTAATTTAAAATGAGTAAGGTGGAAGGAAAGAAAAGTTTCTCTGAAGAAGCAATCTCCAAAAACATTGGGTAATGATCCTGAGGGTAAATATAGTTTAAAAAATTCTGAATTTGTAATGTTCCAGGTATGTATGCATCTGTATTAAGTTGTGATCCTGGGGTATAGAATTTAGTAGGAATTATTATTTTTATTTATTGGTTTTTGTTATTTTATGTGTACGATTGTATTGCCTGCCTGTGTGTAAGTGCACTTATGTCGTTCAATGCCTGTGGAAGTCAGAAGAGGGCATTCAATCCCCTAGAACTGGAGTTATAGACAGTTGTTAGCTGCCATGTAGGTGTTGGGAACCAAACCTAGGCCCTTTGCAAGAACAGCCAGCGCTCTTAACCACTGAGCCATCTTCCGGTCCCCAGAATTTACTGTGAATTATTAATTAGACAAGAGGCAGAACTCAGATACAGCATCCAATAGCAGCAATGTAGTAAAATGAAGAAACATTTTTTCCATTGGTGCTATTCTGCTATGATTAGTGTTTGGCTATGCAGAGGAACTATAAAGACATGAAAAGTTAATATTTGATTGATTTTTAATATATAAGGTTTACTATGTGTCTCATTTTCAGTTTGATCCAAACTGTTTACCTGTCATCATCTGACTAATAATTCCTTATAAATTCATCAGTAGTTCTGTTTTTTCTCTGCACTGGTGTTCTGTTATAGTCTCTAATGACAACTTACTCATCCCCTAGTTCTATAAGCCCTGAAAATATATACAATTCTACTTTTTTGTCTTATGACCATTTTAATTTTCTAAAAGTGACTATTCAGCATTATGATATTACCGTTATGGGTTTTTTTGCATTATGTTTTTATTATGGTAGTTTTCAAAGGCAGTAGATGCCCATCTTAGTTTCTTAAGGAGTAGGTTTTGAAAACTGTGCTGGATATTGTAAATTGCTGGCTTATGTTAAATGGGAGCTTCTCAAAGACCAAAAATTATTCACTAATAAGTGCTGAACCTTGACATACTTATCACATTTTCTTTCTTTCTTTCAGGTTGACAATAAATGCCCTTGCACAGAAGCTTACTGCTTATTGGAAGGAAAAGACATCTCAAGAAAATTTTGAGACCTTACCTGCATCCAGGCCAGTACCATGACTACTAAAATATTTTTAAAATATGAAAATATTAAAGGTAGTATTCTTCTATCAATTGGAAGAAACAAGGACAAAATGTTGTTTTTCACACAACGTAGTTTAGTTAACTAAAACTAAGAAACATGAGTACTAATTACATCATTTACCTGTTCTTTATGGTTTAAAACTTATGTGGTTTGGGTCATAAATGTGAAGAGCTTAATACTGTTAGTTTAGGATAGACCGTGTAATATAGTAGGAGATTATGGTCATTAAATCAGACACTCCTGGGTGGAAAGTCTGGACCTGCCTCTTGATAGTTGGGTAGACTTGGATAAATGAGTCACTTCACTTCTCTGAATGCATTGAATTAGGATGTTCCACACTTTTAGCACAGTACATGACATAGTGTAAGTGTTCAGACATGTTAAAAAAAACTTGCCTTCATTTTACCTGCTGAATATTGTTAGGACAAAGCTAATATTTCAGAGCAGAAACAGAAAACCAAACATTAAAGAAAAAGTAGAATTTATTGAATCTATAACTCAGTAGGTAAACATCATGATACAGAAGATAGACCTCATAGCTACATATATGAAGTTAATTATACCACCATCAAGAGAAAGATTAAAATAATAGATATTACACTGCCCTTCTTGATTAAGGGGATGCACCCGTCTATTTTTTAATGAAACCGCTCTATCACTATACGTTACAAATTTTTGTTTCAAATCCAACCTGAAGGTTATGTGTATGCTTCTACTTTTTTCTACAGATATCAGCTCAAATACATCCCCTTTGTCTTACCAAAACATGCAAATTAAGGTGGTGTATCTTTTTGTCTTTCAAAATAGCAATGGTTAATGTATCAAAGCAGATGTTCATGTATTGCTAGACCATGTAAGAGATAACAGCAGAATTCTAATGAAAATAAATTATTCATTCATTATTTACTTATTCCCAGACATTGTTCTTAGTTCTTTACATGTAATAATTTATTTAATGATGTCAACAACTCTAAAGTGCACAGATACCATTTTTACCAATATAAAGGCTGATACATCAAGAGCTTAAATAATTTGCTCAAGATTAGATAAGTAGGACGTGATAGAGCTAAGGTTCAAATGTAAGCAGTCAGCCTCCTGGCTACACTCTGCTAGAGGGTCACCGTGAGGGAAATATAATACAGCTCCCTTAACTTCCTATTTACTGCAAACATGCGATATAAACTTCTTTCTGCTGGTTTCAAAGATTCACCATGGACTGCAGTGAGTTGCTGCCTCTTAGTGTGCTTGTCTCCATGGATAATATAGGACTCTTTCTGCAAGAGTCTTCTGTGAAAATTCGTCTAAACCCGAAGCTAACATGGCCTTTCCTCTTTTTTGACTACTGCTGAAACTACTTTCTGCAGGCTCTGGCTCTGACTAAAACTGTCTCTATGGAAATACATAGACACAAGAGGTCAGACCTGAGCATAGAGTTTAAAGGTTGCAAGTCTGGAGCAACCAAGAGTTAAGAGGGGGCACTAGGTAGGTCAAAAATGTTTACAAACTTAGTTAAATAGAATGTTTTTAAGAAGAAGAGGATGTTGTATTTGAGTGGCATGAGTGCCTTTTATTTTTTTCATTATGTATTTCTCTATTTCCTAGTTTTTCCATCATGAAGTTGTATTACTTTTTTTGCAATAAGAAATCAATCTTTATATATAAAACATGGCTTCTGGAAGATTCTTTAAGAGTTGATGGAGGGTTGGAGAGATGGCTCAGTTAAGAGCACTGACTGCTCTTGCAGAAGACCTGGGTTCAATTCCCAACACCCACATGTAAACTAACAACTTTATGCAACCCCATTTCCAGAGGATCCAACATCCTCTTCTGACCTCCGCGGGCACTGCACAACATGAGTGCATTTACACACATGCAGGCAATATATTCATACATATAAAAAATAGAAATAATAAATTTTTTTTAAAAAAAGAGTTGATGGAAACAGATGAGGTGCTTAGGAAGGCAATAATTCAGTATTGCCTGTTTCTTTTCTTGGCCTTCTAGAAATTGCTTTTTTTTACTCTGTTTTATTGAAATTTTGAAAATTTCATGTCATATTTTGATTGCATTTAGGTCCCCTTCCCTGTCTGACCCACTCCTTACTACCTCACCCAATTTCATATACTCTAATATATATAATATATAACATATTAATATATATTAATCTCCAAAGTAATTTTTAAAGGAAAAAAAAAGAAGTCCAAAGTGTATAGGGTCGTAGGGAAGATATTTTAATGACGATGCTCTGTGACTCCTATAAATACATTTTCAACTTGTTCAGTGATTGGAGAAGTAAATAAAATTACTCTATGGGTTTTATTTCTTGGTAATAATGTACTATATACATAATATTTTCTCAGGTTAATAAATTTCAGAAGTAAAATTATTTATCTCACTATTCTTACATTTTGTATCCAAATCTGATATGTATGTATATATAGGAATGCATAGTGAAATTTGTGTCCCCAAATGCCTTATAATTAGAAAAAAAGAATGACTTAAAACAAATGAAAAAAATTACTGAAATAAGACTTGAAAGAACCACAACACTTCCTTGTAAAACCTAGTAGAAGACCAGTATAAATACATACGAAACCCAGCCTGGTAGTAAAATGGACATAAGGTGTCTCTCTTCCTCTGGTGTCTTGTTTCTAGCCTCTGTTCTCTCTCAAACACAACCTTCCACACTGTAGCTACTGACATTTTCTATCACGTATGTGCTGCCCCTTTTCACAGAGGAAACAAATTCACTTTAGGGTATAGGCCACTGGGGTCCACGCTTCTGGAAGTGGATGAGAATGGATATATGCTTTTAAGAGGTGAAGTCTGAACAGTTTATCCTATAATTTTACTCAATTGTTGGAGCCACCATTTCTAGTTAGGAAATTTAATCAAATTATATTGCTTTTTAAGATTAACTTTGGGAATATCAATAAAATTGTGAATGAAACATTATAAACAAATGATTTGTTTTGTGATGTTGGAACTCCACCCCAGAGCCTTATGCATGCTACACAAGTACTTTGCACTGAGCTATATCCCCAGACCCAAAGTATTTTTTTAAAAGAAAAATAAAAAAAAAAGAGTGGGGCTGGAGAGATGGCTTAGCGTTTAAGAGCACTGACTGCTCTTGCAGAGGATCCAGGTTCAATTCCCAGCATCCACATGGCGGCTACTCCTTAACTCCAGTTCCAAGGGAATCTGAAGCCCTCTTCTGACCTCCGCAACACTGTACAACATGGGTGCATTCAAATACATATAGGCAATACACTTATACACATAAAATAAAAATAATAAATAAAATAAAAAATTATTATTAAAAAAAGAAAAAAGAGAAATCAGAAGATATTTTGATGACAGTACTTCTGTGACTCCTATAAATACATTTTAAATCTTTTCAGTGACTGGAGTAAATAAAATGATTCTATGGGCTTTATTGTTGATAATAATGTATTATATATGTAAAATGTTTCTCAAGTTAATGAATTTCAGAGGTTAAATTATTTAGCTCGTTATTCTTACCTGTTGTATCCATATCCGATGTAGTTATCTGTGATGTACATTTAAGGTATCTAGATTATGACATTTCTAGCATACTTCCTATATAAAAGGATTTTTTAAAACTTTCAGGATGTTTTTTAATATAAGACAAGGCAAAGAGCTATACAATAACACTTCTGTTTTTCCTCAACCAGGAAGATTCCTGACCAGACATGGGTACAGTGTGATGAGTGTCTTAAGTGGAGGAAGCTTCCTGGCAAGGTAGATCCATCCACATTACCTGCAAGATGGTTTTGTTACTATAATCCCCATCCCAAATACAGGTAAGGTTCTAGTATTCAGTATTATTCTTGAGATAAATGTGTGCTGACTGGCCCTACCTTATCTATATAACCTTTGGGGGGGTGGGGCTGGTCTGAAACATACTATGTAGACCTGGCTTGCTTTGAACTCACAGAGGTCCACCTGCCTCTGAATCCGGAGTGCTGGGATTACAGACACATGCTTCCATGTCTAGTTCTAACCTTATTTTTCATTCTGCTTTCACAGAAACCCCATACTATAGTCAGGCGCTATCTCTCATATATTCCATGGTTACTCTGTCCTCTATGACTTTGATAGTGTCATTTCTCTCGGCTGTATTCCATCTGCCTATCCAAATTGTAGCAATCTCAGGAGCTGAACTTTTATGTGACAACTTCTCCTCTTAATAGTAATCTTCAATAATGATTTTATTCTGACTTCCTGCAGTATATGATCCTCGGCAATTGTTCATATATTTTATATTGTGGGGTATTTTCATATGTACTTTTTTATTCCTTCAGAGGTTCTAGATACTTCGATAAACTCCTGTCATTCTCTATTGAGTCATTAACTTTTTTTATGCCTCCTCCACAGAATCAATGTAAATAGCATCTGTTGCACATTTAGTACAGCTTGTTTGCATGTTTGTCTTCTTAATGTGTCGTATGTTCCTTGTATCATCCAACATCTAAATAGTGCTTGGCATATCATGGGCATAAATTTTAACAATTTATCTTTGACTCGGTAGTTATATATGCTCATGTTAACCCTGCTTCACTCTAGCTATGACTTCTTAACATTCTTCTTTTTCAGGGCACATGCTGGTAGAAAGAAGGTAATCTAACAGAATGTGTTTTTAGGGAAAAATGTCTAAAATGGAAAAAAGTGGAAAAAACGAAGGCTAGGTCTGTAATTATAAGCATCTCCTCATATCCTCCAGATGTGCCTAGGTACCTTTCCATGGAGAATACATGACATTGTCTGATCAGATTATGGGATTGATTACTTAGAAGTTTCATTTTTGAGCATTATCTTTTTTGAATATGCCATCTTTTTTTCTGTTTATATTTATCCCAGTAGAGAGCCTTCCCTTATGAAATAATGTGGTTTCCAATTGTTATTAGTTCTTGTTTGTTGTTTTCTTAGGATTACTTTTGACCATTGAGTAAATTTTTCACAGTCTTGGTTTTTAACTTCTAAAATTCCCTTCCTTGTGCTATATACATAGGGAAGCTGTAGTACTGTATGAACTGTATAATGTTAGTGAGTTGCCATCTATCATAGTCATAATGAAAGTAAAGGGTAAAATTGAAGAAAATGTTTTGCCACCAAAACATGATTTCTTCTCTATACTACAGGAGATGTTCTGTTCCAGAAGAACAAGAAGGCGTCGATGAAGACCTAAACTTGAGCAAGGCGAAGCAACAGTTGAGTATACGTGAGGTGGTATTCTACATCATGGAGCGTAGGAACCTGACTCCCTCTAATAAGACAGGCATTTTGAGAGGGGGATGATTTTGGAGCACTGTTGTTGCTCAATGTTTTCCTTCCCCACTTCTGCTCTGCCAAGTCTTCCCTTCTGTCTCCTGATATCTGGAATGCCTCAACTTGTAATTGCGCGCCCCCCCCCCGCCATCTCTTTCACACACACATGCACAGAGAGAGGCAGGGGGCCGGAAGAAGGAAGGGGGGGGGGGGGGGAGGAGAGAGAGAGAGAGAGAGAGAGAGAGAGAGAGAGAATATGAATATGAGACTGAAAACTCCAGTACCATAACAGGAATACAACTCTAGTTGCTCAGTGAGCCTCACATTCTTTCTAATTTGGAATGAACATAATATTCTAAGTACACAATTCATGATCCATCTCAAATTGAGGCATTTCATGAATAAGCTACAAAGCACTTAATTTTGAGACAGAGTTTCACTTTGTCACTCAAATTGACCTGTAACTTGCTCTATAGACTGCTGGCCTTGAACTTCTAATCCTCCTGCCTTGGCCTCTGGAGCCTAAATAGCACTTTTATCTTCTAGAGATGAAACTGTTGAGAAGAAGAAGATGCCTGTGGAATATGATAGCCAACAGGTGAGAGACAGGTCCACACCTTTCTTTTCTCACAGTTTTCCCCCAACAAAGGATTTAGGTTGAAGAAAGCTGCATAGAAATAATGAGGATTTCTTTTCATGGTCTTTTCTTTTTATCGACTCTTCAGCTTTTGTGTTGCTCTTCTGTTACTGATGTCCAGAGTGCTTAAAACAGAAGAATCATGTCATTTCCTTTCCAGATTTAGATTGAGTACTGACTCTGGGCAGTGGGAATGACACATTCGGTGTCACAAAACAGGGTTGTATTCCATCCTCATGAGTTGTTCCTCCAAAGTGTCTGGTTTTCCTATCTCCTTTCTTTTGGGATTCAGGGATAATTCCGTCCTCTTTTCTCTTGGGAAGAAGGGTTGGTTCTTTGTGCCTCCCCGCCCCCTCATCCCTGCTTTCAGGCTGGCTGGCTTTATAAAGACTCTGCTGTTTTGAATTTTCAGGAGCACTGTCTCTCGGACATGGTTGCCCAGCACCGGACGCTGAAGGGTGCAATAAGGTTGGCCGTCCTTTCAGGGACACTCCTTTCCTGACAGCCACCATAGCACCCATATATCTCTCTCACCCATCCTTGCCTTTCTGCATGATTTTCCCCTTGACTGTATTTCCCAGAGATCTGCTAGTCGCATGTTAGATTTACTCCTTTACCCAGTCGGGGCAGGTCAGACTATTGAGGAGAGAGGCAGTTTAATGCTAATGCTTCTTCAAGTATCCTGCTCAAGCCCAAGCATATGAGCAATCAGGTTTCATAGACTATATCTATATAGAAATTGGGATGTCCTAGGACTGCCCTATCCTCATTCAGTTTGCCTACCCTTTGTTCTTTCACCTTAACTATTCATACTCTCTTCATAAGCTGGCTCTCCAAGATCCCAGGTGCATGTCTCCGTTTGTGTGCACTATGAACACGTGGTAGTCTCTGGCATGTATTTCTCCTAAACCAGCAGATACTTGCTGCAGTGCTTTTCCCTTCCACCTCTACTTTCATCACACATCTTGAAAGAATGAAAATCCAGCTTCTAACTGGGCCACAAGAGAGAAGTAGACAGTGATTGAGGGCCTGGGTTTGTGATGTGGGTGGAAAGGCCTAGTAGCCAATACAAGAGTTGGGGGCAGTCTGTTGGTGTCTAGCTGATAAGGTTAGTAACTGAATGTGCCTGGGTTCAGTGTTCTAGTGTACATTACTGTGCGCTGTTTGTTCTGTGTAGGAAACAGTTTCTCTTTATTTGGTCAAGCATTCTTTCCTAGCATCAGAAGAATTGACACATCCTTTCGTATTTGGGTTGAATTTGGGATTTTTATGAATTATTATTTTTCTTTCTAGGTACTCAGTAATCCACCAAAGATTTCCACTGCACAAGATATGGCTGAACTAACTGACAAGACAGTTGAATACGAGAGAATCAATAGCCCTAGCCTGCCTCCATCTATTGGAGAGGAAAGCAGATCATCTCTTCAACTTAAGCCTCTGGATTCCAGTGTTTTACAGTTTTCCAGGTGATTATAAAAAAATAAGCTGTTGTCAATAGCAAGTCTCTGGGTCTGTTTTCCTGTAAAGTTATTTGATATATCTTATATCATGTTCATATTTTTCTTATGGCATGCAGTTCAAAACAGAACCAGTTTTCCATTGATACAACTGTGTGTTGCATGCACCTCCAAGATTTTCCTTGTTACAAGTGCCGTACCAAGCCGATATATTTTTGAGTGATCACTGGCTGGTGTTCTCTTCCTTGTCAAGTATTCATATTATATTGACTATTATACAAATGAAATGGTGGACCTTATAACTAGCTGAAAAGCATAAAGTGCTATATAAATAAGGCAATGATACACAGACAAGTGTTGTTCCTGTTATTTAATTTATTGATGTTGAAGTCTATTGAGGATTCATAGGATTAGAATATGTTGTCCATGTCTAAAAATAGCTAGTAGAAATTTGTGCTATTAGGGAGTGATAATTCATTGTTACCTAGAATACCTCATCTCTAAAAGTTTGTTCTTGGGCTTTACTCGTTCATCTTCTATCGTATCAATTTGTTTTGCCACATAGTAGGATAACTATTCATTTTCTTAGATATTAGGAGCCACAGAAATACTGGTAGAAACAACCGCCCCCATACCGGCACTAGAATGAGCACAATACTCCTAATTGACAGTGCTTGCTTTCCCTTCTTGTCTGTTCTCATTCTAGCAGGGCCAAAGTATAGGGAAGGCACAGAAATGTTCTCAAGTAGTAAAAACTGCTATAGTTATCCTTAATGTGATTCATATGTATAGGTGTGAACTTCTCAGTGACTCTTTCGGGTAGCTTCTTAACATAATGTAGGATAGAGGCAGTAGACTACATCATAGCGTTAATTAATCCCCTCCCCCAGTGATAATGATTTCTTTAGCTTTTTGTTTCTTCTTAGGTAAGTCTTTTAGCCTCTTAGCAATGTAAAGATCCATACAGGTGTGCACTTCATCTATTCTGCGATTCTTCCACAATTAAACCATGTAGATTATGGAGAAGCCTTTAGGGTTAGCCTTGAACATGAGCACATAATCTCAAGAGAAAGTAAACATTTAGGAATAAAACCCTTAAAAGAGATAAATGCCAATCTATATGAATTCATCTAGAATGTACCTTGGAATGTGGTATGTACCCAGTAACCAATGATTAAATCTGGATCATATTGAAAGAGCAATAGAGAAGATTATATTTTGTAGCAAGGGAGTAAAAAATATATAGTTCATCATGGTCTCTGTAGTTTGATCCTAACTCTACCTTATTCCTATCAATACTTTTTCAATTCCTGTTGTAGGTTTGGAGGTGTGTACAATAAATACTGTTTTTGAAGCACATTATTATCTCTCTACCTTTGTCTTCTGGATATTCTTATGCCTTTGTTTTTGAATTCTTACTCTGTAATAACCGCATTTCTTTTTGATTCCATGTATTTATTTGGTAACTCTAGTGGTTTATGACAACCATGGGAGGAATTGCAACTGTGATCTAGGGCATTCTATTACATATTTTGTGAGTGCAGTACTGTAGTACATCCATTGGGTGGCATACCTCATCAGTTTATATTGAAGTTTTTGTACGAATCTTTGTGGAATGTAAGGTTTAGGCAGGTGAAGTACTTTGACAGTTCATGTATAATTCAAATTTACTGAGAGTAGGATTCTTTCAAGAGATACACGATACATGGTGCTACTAGTAATATATGCTCATAAGATAAGTAAATAATAATAATTATGTCATTTCGGGATATGTATATAGAGGAATTCAAATAGGTTGAGGAACCAAGCACAGTGACATTTGCCTATCATCTCAGCTACTTGGGAGACAGGTCAAAAAGCAATTGAGCCCAGAAGTTCATGACCATCCTGGGTAACATACCAAAATGGTGTCTCAAAAAATTTTTTATAAAATTTTTCATTTGAGTGTGGGAAATGGAGGCATTCATGAGAATGGTAAAATATGCAGAATTTCAGATAAAGAGTATTAATATAATAATGGGTTTTATTCAAGAGTTACAAAGCTCTCCTTTACAATGAAGACCTAAAACTGATAAGAGTCTTTGAGTTATGTAGTCCTGCTTACTAACTGTCTATAAAATAAAGAGTATTCTGTCCAAGAGAACTTTAAGAAATCACAATGGGGAAGGTTAGCAGTGTCATTGGAAATGATCGAGTGTCACATATCTGACAAGAGGAGAAAATAGACTACAATAAAGTAAAGCTTCAACCAGTGCGTACACTGTCATAACCTTTTAGGGGGAAACATCTTGTTTCTTTTAAGTGAAATGACTCATTCTTGTTCATTAATCATGCAAAAATTTAAGTGCTTTCTCTATGATAGGTATTATTTTAGGGTAATAATGGGATCCAAGGTCATGGAACTTAGAGTAGTCAGTATTTTATGTAAATATCCCCAATATATGCAAGTTTCATTACAAATGGCACAAACGTAGGTCTAAAATAGACATATCAACAAAAGAAAGAATTAGTGGTTGTAATTTTTATATATTGGATAAATTATGCCAAAAGATAAGTAGTTCATAGTTTTGAAGGATTCCTAAAAAATACCTCGGTTACACTGTGATAGGAGAAAGATGAGCAGAGACAGCCTAATATGTATAAATATTTTTTTAAACAGAGGGTAAACAGAAAAAAATTTATTGCAGATATTTATTATACGTATGAATGGGTATGTACATATGTGTGCACATGTGTGCCATGATGTATGTGTGGAGGTCAGAGGACAGTTTGTGGGAACCAGTTCTCCTTCAAACTTGTCATCAGGCTTAGTGGTAAATTCCCTTACCTATTGAGTCATTTCTAAAGCCCCAATTTTCCAAATAAGTAAGATTGATTCAAGGGTCAGTATTACATATAAAAGATTATCTAAAAATATATGATCTGAGAGAGCAACTTCTAGAATGGAGAAAAGAGAACACCAGTGGACTCTCACCGACAAATTGTAATTTAACTTGAGAAGTAATTCTGAAAATTCAGAGTTCCTGGAAATATTTCTAGAGGCATGCAACAAAGAGAGAAATCACAACTTAAGAAAATCTGCTAGCTGAAGAGTTGGCTCAGTGGTTAAGAGCACTGGCTGCTCCTGTAGAGGACCCACATGGCAGCTAACAGCCATCCATAACTCCAGTTCCAATGGATAGGATGCCCTCTGTTGACCTCTGTGGGCATTGCATGACACAGATGCACTTCAATACATTCATACACACAAAATAAAATAGTAATATGTAAAATATTTCAACGGTCTGTAACTCCATTTCCAGGGGATCTGATGTCCTCTTCTGACCTCCATAGACATTGCACGAAGCAGGTGCACTTACATACATGCAGGCAATACACTCATGCACATAAAATAATAAAAATAAACAAATTAAATATATTTTTAAAAGAAAATCTACTAAATTTCAGGAAGAACAATAAGAATCAGTGGCATTTGAACCAGGGCCTGTTCTCACTCTCTCTAAATCCTGCTTCATAGACACTGTTTAAGGGAGCTCTAATCTAGGTGAGTGTGGTCAAGAAGATGGGTGTTCCATGTTCCATAAGTTCCCTGAGTAAAAGTGGTTTAATCTGATGGGGCATGCCCCTGCCTGTTTTCATCTCCCCCAGCTTTAAATTATGGAAACTCTATAACAGATAGCCCCCAAAGGAATGATCTGTCTTCTCCCATCCACCTTTATCTTCCAACACTCAGCCCCCATTTGTAGGGTGGAGTCACTCACCTAGGCTTATCAAGCTGACAAAACTAGGCTCCAGCTCAAGCTTGCTTGTAGATCAAAGATTCATGCTGGATGGAGCAAGCCAAAAACCACCACAGTACTTATTCATAAAGAAGAAATTTAATTCTTGAAGAAATGAGCCACTGTCTCTGCTTCCAGTTTTTGCATAGTTCTTCAGCTTTGAAAAAGAGGAAGGCTTTAAGGTTGAACTCCACAGCTCTACCTGAATGAACTGACTTTATCTGAAACAAAGGATTAAGAATTGTATGCATAAGGACTTTATGAAAAGTAAAATAGGTTAGAATAGAGAATAAGAGGGCACTTGTTAACTCCATGATACAAGGTGCCAGAAGTAAAATGACCAAATAACCAGGAATTTGGTAATAGAACCAGAGAAAGACTATCAAGAGTTTCTTGGAATGTTAGTTAATGTTGTATACCAGAAAAGCTTTATATAAACACAAATCAGCACCACCAAAGAACTAAATAGAATAGGGCATAAGGTGGACTTGGTATTAATTCCCTAGCTGTATCAGATCAAATAACAAAAGGCAGCAACTCTGTAGGCATAGATTTAATTTTAAGTACTCCCTCTGAACACCAACTACTGGTCAAATAATACTCTGGTCCAGGGACAATTACAAAGAAGCCAGGCTTAAAAAATAAAATCATGCACATCATTGAAATCCGGAAGACTATATACACTCAAGTCGGTGCTCTCTCAGATGTGACTAAAAAGCGAAGATCAAAGTTACTGTTTCTAACTTAATGTGTTGCAGAAACAAACTCCTTGAACTTTAATAGCAGACTAAAAACCACAAATATGTCCAACAGAAAAGGGTTAAAAACTAACTAGATGGCGCTCCTGCTCCTTTATCCCCGTGGTTCCTTTCCATTTCCTTGGCTCATGAGGAATAAAAAGCAAAACAAAACCAACTGGAAAGGGCAGTTAACTACAAACTTTGACCAATAATTGGCCAATGATGAGCCAGAGAGGAGTTCTGAGTTGTCTGAGAAAAAAATTAAAATCAAGAAAAATATTGAACAAGGACATCAGAAGGTTCAGAGTAAAATGAAAATGAAGTTCAGGGAATCAGTTCATCTAAGTCTCTAAATTTAAGGGACTGGCAAGATGGTTTAGCAGGTGAATGCATCTGCAACCAAGCCAGAAAACCTGAGTTCAGTCCCTGAGACCCACATGGTGGAATGAGAGAACCAACTCCTGCAAGTTGTCCCTTGACCACCACATGC